ATAATTGCAAGGTATCTCATTGTATGTGAAGTTAGACAGGTATTTTTTATACTACCAGGTCTGTAAAACTAACGGAGTCCAACTTGGGAGAGTGTACCAATCAGCTTGTACTGAAAGTTTTGGTAGTCAATTCAACTCTCTCAGGGTGGATGGAACTTGGTACGTACCTTCAAAGATACAATGGTAAAAGACTGAGTTTCTGATAGATACAGTCTTGGCTAAAATGTTTGCATATTTTGTAACAAATAAAATTATCATTATTAAGATGGAATACAAATATACTTAGCACTGTCAAACAGAGAAATGCATGTTATATTAAACATTTACATATGCAAGTTATATAATGAGACAAGTTCTATGGACATCATGAACGATTTATTAGAACAGCTAACAATTTTATCGACACACGTAGAAAGATGTGTAATTTAACATTTCACCTCTCACAACAAAACCTTAACAAAACATATAAAATGACAAATATAACATCATCTTATATCAGTTCATATTAAGCATTTAGTAGTTGGTTGGTCTTCCTCGTACTCTAATAACCTCCACAAGGTGATGTGGTATGTTGAAATGATTGCTCACCTTCCTTATTCCATCTGGAGTATGTTTCTACTTTAGTGAGAGCCAATAATGGAGTGAACATTTTGGAGAAGTTAGTCGCACATTGTAAATAGCATGACACAAAACCAAGAAACTGTAGACTTTTTCGTTGGTAAAGGGTTGAGACCAGTCTCTTACCGCTTATATCTTAGAAGAATCTGTGGATATTCCATCCCTACCCTCAATATAACCAACAAATTACATTTCTACGGGCAGGAGTGAGCACTTCCTTAACTTCTGTTTCAAGCCTGCCTTTTTTATCTGCTAGAACACCATTTTCAAGAGATCAGCCACAGACTTGAATGCGCAAACAAACACTAAAACATCATCAACATAAGTCCGGCATTTATCCCATTGTAGCCTCTTCAGTGTAAGATCCTTTAGCTTCTTAAAAGAGGTGGTTGCATTACACAGGCTGAACGGCATGACATGAAACTCGTACAGTCTTGTTCAAAATGTTTGCATACTATTCTATATTAATGTTATTGTCTATATACATGGAGTAATTATTGAGTAAATGGCAGAGTAGTAACAGAGAAGGTAGCTTATGATTAGACAAACATGTAGGAATTGTTATTCTGGTCTGTAAAAGTTATTTTGAGCATTTGTTTGTCAAAACACACGCATACACCTGTTTTATATAAAAGGATGTGCTTTTGGTATAATCTTTTTCGAAACAGATCAACGCTTTGTTTAGACAATTTTTTCTGTACTTGGTGTAGAGTCATGTGCCAGAAGTTATAGGGCGTCAAATTGTTCGACTATCCAGAAATGGTATGAAGCAAATGGACGTTGCCAGAATGGTAGATTATCCTCAGTGTACTGTATCCAGAAACCTGAAATGTCATCAGACTACAGGAAACGTTGTTACATAAAAGTATACTGGTAGATGCCTGAAAACTACTGCCTGAGATGACTGTGTGTTGGTCAGGTTAACATATCAAGGGCGAAAGAAGTCTTGCAACACCTTATGACAGGAATGGCATAAACACATTAATTTCAGAGTATCCAGAACAACAGTAAATAAGAGACTGACCAAACAAGGTTATTTTACAAGAAGGGCTATCTGCAAACCGATATTAACCAGAATTCACCTACGTCATCGTGTTACTTGGGCAAGACAGCATGTCAACTTACAATTAGGACACTCATAACATGTAATCTTTTCAGATGAGTCCCGTTTCCAGCTTGTTAAAGTTGGTGGTATAATTCATTTTCGTTGCTTCCCTGGATAACAGATGAGGGAAGACTGCCTTTCCTACAGAGAACACACAGAAGGTGGTGCAGTATATGTTTGGGCAGTTATTCATCATGATGGACGAACTGCTTTTCATACCCTCAGAAACGTCAATGGCGCCTTCTAAAGACATCACATGGAAACGATATTTTTGTCATATGCTAGGGCAAGGGTTTGGCAATAGCTTTGTGTTCCAGGATAGCAATGCCAATGCTCACAGTGCAGGTATTGTACAGAATTATGTCGACTAGAAGGACGTTACAAGATTACTATATTCAGCAAAGTCTACAGATTGTAATCCCATTGAGAACTTTTGGGCAGAACTGAGCCGGAAAATTGCTAACCAAGACCCTAAATCAGGTACTGTAGCTGAGTTGTAGTGCCTTCTAATGACAAGTTGGGATGATTTCACGGTGGATTACATTAATAACCTCATCGACAGCAAGTCACGTCGCCTTGTGGAGGTTATTAGAATATGAGGAGGACTAACTAAGTACTGAATGTTTAATATTGTTACGTCTCCGTTTGTTAATTAACTTTCCGTAACTTCGTTCCGACGAAACTTTAGCGACACAAGTCCTTACTTAATAAAACTAGGTTTATTTCTTTCTTGAATATAACTTCACGATAGACTTGGTTTCTAACATTCGCGCT